GAACCGCTTGAAACAGTCTTCTTTCTTCTCACTCGCGAGCACCGGAGCGAGTGCCGGGAGGGAGCGCACCTCAGGATCCCGCTTCCCAGTACTCTCTGGTCGCGTTAATCCGAATGTAGCGCTGGAGGTTGTGCCTCGAGCTCTCAGAGACCGTGCTACCTAACTGCACTGTCCTGCTCCTTGCTTACCCCGCCTACAGCCCCGTGAGCTCCTCGGAAACCTCATTCTTTAGCTCCCACTGTGAGCCCCGGTCACCTCTGAGTCCTACTGTCTCCTTTCCTCTCGGCCCTGGCCCCTATATTCCCACCCTTCCCCTCTGGGTCAGTGTCCATGAAGCGCCCTCTCTCCCGCTTTCCCAAACTTGCCGGCTGCGGAGAAGAGGGGACCAAGAAGGAGTTAGCGAAGTTGGAGAGAGCTGTGGAGCCTGGGTGGGAGAGTGGACCCGGGACCCCGGGGCGGAAAGCCAGGCAGGGGGCGCGCCAGGTGGGGGCTGAGTAAGGGGCCCGGGCAGAAGTGCCTCGACCCACCTGCTCCTGTGGTTTGCCCTCAGGTCCGGGCCAGCGCCATCGCGCAGGACGCTGACCAGAACTACGACTACGCCAGTAACAGCGTGGTGCTGCACCTCGATTCTGGGGACGAGGTGTACGTGAAGCTGGATGGCGGGAAGGCGCATGGAGGCAATAACAACAAGTACAGCACGTTCTCGGGCTTTCTTCTATACCCGGACTAGGGGCGCAGGGTGCACGAGGTGGGGTGGCTTCAGGACGCCCTATGCCCATAGGGGCGCGCTGTTCCCTGGCAAGGACTCTTGCTTCATGACACTTCCTGACATCGTTGGAAAAGACACATCCCTGCTGTCCTCCCTGCCCCGCTCCCGGTCTCAGTGTGTCTGCGACTCGCCACGCTCTGGGCTGTGCTCCTGGTTCCTGTCCCCAGCCCGGAGAGGTAGAGGGCGACACCCACGTAGTGAGATGAACATGAACCTGAACCCCAGAGGCGGTGGTCAGTAGCGGCGGCAGCGGAGGAGACAGCAGCTGCGGAAGCAGTGCGGGGTTTGCAAACCTGATGGGACTGGACAGGCCAGGCGGGACGCCTGTCCTCTTCCAGGTCCCCTCCTTCTCCTTGTGCCCTGAGACCGAAGCCTCCCAGTCCTGGCCAGTGAGGTAGGCCAAAGTGAGCATGAGCTCCCTGGGGCATCTTTTGTGACCTGAAATACTTGTGCAAATTTCCCTGTCCATCAGCCAAAACCTCAACCGCAGCAGAATCCCAATAAACGGAAAATTCGCCTCTCCACAAACTCCCTACAGATCCACTGCGATGCATTAAATTATGTTTTTAGACGACAGGCTCTGATGTCTCTGTCAGTATGGCCCTAAGGCCACACCTCCAGAAGTCCACCTCTGCATTAACTGGGTCCTGAGTAGTCCCATCTATGCTTGTGTGTCAGCCACTGCCTTGTCCCGGCAACCTGGGGTGGGTGAAAATGATGTGGGGAGATGGGATAGCAGCATCCCACCGTTTGGGGAGGTAATTCTCCCCAGGGCCCAGAGGAAGTAGGGGAGAGTTAGAGGGGAAGGAAGAGGAGTGGCTGCATCTCCAAGCTCTCAACCTCGTAGGAGGAGGTCAAAGAGCAGGGGTGTCTGAAGAAGGAAGGAGAAGAGGAGACATTTCTGCAAAATGGGAGGCAGGAATGAGGCACTTTCCAACAGGTGATCTCTGAGATGTTTTTCCCTAAAAGGAAGTGCAGAAGTCCCCTGTAGAACTGCGCAACCCGCCCCCCAACCCACCCCAAAGCACATAGTATACTCAGCACCTGTCCATTTATTTGCTTGACACCAGCTAGGGCCATGTTCTCAAAAGAGCTGGTAAACTGAGGCGATCTGGGAATCATCCAGCTTCCCGATTCGCCCAGCGCTGTATGATAGATAGACACTATCCCTCTGGGCAGACACCCCTTGTTTGGGGTCTTCCCTTCCTATTTGCACAGTGCTGTGGGCACCTGCTCTGAGCCTGAAAGTGTTTGGTCTCCTCTCTTTACTTCCTGCCAGCATTCTACACTCACAAGGTAGGCAGGGAAACACTCACATGGTTTTGATTTTTTTTTTTACTTTTTTGTTTTTTTTAAATCACTAAGTTCCAATAAACAGTAAGCTGTCTACAAAATAACCAGTTAGCAACTTGTTAGTACTGACTGAGATCATTTTTACCGGTTGTTTGAAGAGAAATGTGTATACACAGAGGCAACCCCAGAGTGTGTGTACCTGTGTAAAGTTGGAGGCACACCACGCACACGCACACACACACACACACACACACACAAATACACCATGTAGATATAATGTGGTTGTCATCACTAATCCATGTTACACATGTGCACACACATATGTATTCATAGGTCCATGTGTGTGACAATGTTCATGGCTATATGTCTGCTCCTAAAGCACATTGTGCTCAACTTTGGTTCCTGGAGGATGCTGAAAGCTATGACTCTCATTTAAAAGATACTATACCCCCTGCTTAGAGTCTTGTCCTGTCGCTATTCCTCTTTATGCTCTTATTTTATTTGAATAATGTTTTATTGTCATTCACTTGAATATTAGCAATGAGTGCATCTGCTTTGAGGCCAGGGATAAAGTGTTCAAAGACAGTAAGGCAGAAAACACACACACATGCCACCACCACCGCCACCACCATTTCCCAGTTTCAGACCCAAACCAAACCCCAATTCCCCACCCCACCCCACTCTTGCTGATTGTGGAGTCCAAATCCAGCTGAGCCCAGGAACTGGGGAGGGTAGAGCTGGGCCCCATCTACAGTTGCATACGTATCAATTTCTGATGCCTTGTCGATTGTATCATCCAGAAATGCGATTAAAACCAAATGTCTGAGACCCAAATGAAGTCTAATTGCTATGGATCTTCAATCCCCACTGGGCCCCTAATCCTTTTTGACTTATTCTTCCTCTTCCTCTGATGAGATGGAGCTTAGACACAAAGCCCTCGGTTTAAATTTCAAAAATTAAAATTGACATGCAGCAGTGGCTTTCCTGGGAGCAGGAGGAATTTCTAAGGAAGTGCCTGCACCCAGCTTTATCCTCCGCATTAAGAAGCAATTTGTACTTCTAACAAAACCCCTACCGCTCCCCTTTGTCGGAAGGGCAGTGGAAATGCTTTGCCCGGGTCTAGCCGTTCACAATACTTAGACAAATTTGAATCTGAGATTCCTCCATCTGTATTCCCCAGTGCAACCGGGCTTCTTGCAATTCTAATGCTCAGGCTGCAAGGAGGTGCTGCCAGAGGTGTCAGCTGCTAAGAGGATGATAGATTGATGAGGAAGCCGGCAAGTGGCCCGACCATCTCAGAAACAACCTCTCTCTGTCTGCACAATCTCCATGTCCCAGGCAGGCCCCTGATGACCCACTGAGGTCCATGATCCTATGATCTTTCTGAAGGACTCTCTAAGAACGGGACAAAGAGGGAAAGGCAGACCAGGCCTCCCACCCTTGCCACCTTTGTTTGCTATCAGCCTTGTCGTGCCTGTGGAATGCAAGAAAACTTTTGCTCCAGACACTTATCCTTCTTGTCTCTAGTTGAGTAGGGAGTTATTTTCAATAATATTTATAAAGGATTGTTTAAATTTCCCAATTGTTTTCAGGTCCATTTTCTAATTGTGTACTTAGGTTAAGATTACCATGCGACATCTCCTAGGAAGTAGAAAAGGTATATTCTGTCAGTAGGAGGTGGGGAAATCAGGGCTCAGAGAGGCCCAAGTAGGAGGTGGGGAAATCAGGGCTCAGAGAGGCCCAAGTAGGAGGTGGGGAAATCAGGGCTCAGTGACTGGCCCAGGTTCACAAAGCTTATAAGAGATTGGGCTGGGACTTGAACTCAGGCTTCCAGGCTGGGCCCCTGACTGACTGCACAGATGGGGCACATCCACCTCCCAGAGTTCCCAAGCCTTAGAGGGGAGAGCGGATGGGTGGGACACACTTCCTACCCCTTCTTCTCTGTAGGGAGTTTCAGCACCATCTGCATGGTTAGGTGAGAAGAGCCATCCTGCTTCTTTGGCCCCAAAGAGTACCCACTCTCCTAATAATCATCTCTAATACTTCTAAGTAATTTGGCTGAATATCTTGGCCTTGGGGTCAGTGTTGATGGCCCAGCAGGACCCTTAGGTCAAAAACTCCAAATGCTCCATTTGGACCTGTGTCCTCCAGTAACCTCCCACCCCACCCCATTTAGGTCCCACTGATCACCTTCTCCTGTAACTGCTCTCCCTTCCCCTTCTCGGTGGTGGGGAGGGGACATCTTGCAGGTGCAGAGAGTTTAGAGGAAGTGATCATGGCTGTCTCTGATTGGCAAGAGGGCCCTTCATTCCCAGAGACTGCATCTATGTGACTAATCTTTTCAGGACTGCCTGAGTGCATGAGATACACATCTGGCCCCGGAAATTCGGATAGAAGTTATGCCTTTTTCTACATTTTCCTCTTATCTGTGTGAGCAGATCGTTCTCTTGGGCTCCCAAGACAAAACATCCAGGCTCCCCTCTGCATTGAGCCATGATGACACCGTAGAGGGACTATGTAGTGTATTATGGAGACCAGTTGTTTTAAACTTCACTGATCCAATTGGACAAAGAGTTTTTGAGCACTCATGCCTGATATGTCTTTGATTGATGAATAATTTATGTATACTATCAATCCATACTTTAAAAATTTCTATCTGTTTTATATTTATATTCATCAGAGGATCTGCATATTCAAGTTAGTATTTATATTCCAGCTGGCTAACCAAATTTGGAGACAGATCTCCTCTTATAAGGACAAAAAGAAATAAGATTAATCCATGTATTTCCCTTTAACTTGCCATTTTTCCAGAATCTTAGGCAAAAAAAATATGTTTTTTCATGAGTCACAGGTAACGCGGTGCATTTTAACTCTTGGAGTGCACAGTTTCAATCCATATTTTAAGCACTGGTAATCCTTGATTTTCTCTCTTTTTTTAGATTAAAAATAAATAAAATTAGAGTTTCAGTATCTCTTTCTTATACCTGATGTTGATGCTCTGATGTTGGCATTAGAATTCTCAGGATGGGCCGGCGTGCAGGGCAGGGCCCCTCCAAATATTGGGGAGGATAAACCTGGCAGATGGAAATGAGGAATTTGGAGGAATGTTTTTATCTCCTGTTATTGCCATATTCTAATTCCCTTCAATGAATGAGAGCACTTCCCAAAGGAGCATGCATTGTAGCAGCAATTGCAGAAAATAATATGGGCAGGAGTTTTTAAAAATAGATTTTATCGTAATAATTTAAAAAATACTCAAAAGTAAATAGAAGAAGATAGTGAGCCCCCATTACCTGTCATTCAGCTTTGAAACCAGATCATGGCAAATCAGGCAGAAGTACAGTTTGTATTATTAAGACCTTACAATGTGCCAGCAATTGGTGTGAGGGCACAATTGTGTCATTATGACACCTCTGTGAAGTAAGCATTGCTATTAACCCCACTTTACAGATGAGGAAACAGGCTCGGAGAGGTGACGTGACCTGCCCAAGGTAAGGGCCAAGGTTTGTCTGACCCCAGAGCCCACACTGTTTTGGGAATATGGGCAGGGTAGAGAGGTAAGACTCGAAGATAAACCACAATAAGGGCTTATTGATATGGCCAGCCTTCCCATCAAGCACTCTGAAGGTGGAGCCAGCACCAAAGACTTTTCACGGCGGCCTCTTTAG